TTATAATAATTATTAATTATATTCCGATCAAAGTCCACATATTACAATAACCCATCATTACCAAAGATAATTTAAAATTAATGTGCGGCCTGGAATCGTTAGGCGATATTTGGTTGGGCCAGTTATTTTAGCTAATTGTTTGAACGGTGCAAATTATTTGCTTTTCTTACAAAACTCTTAGCCATAGCTTCTTGAAGATTTGGCTTTACAATTGGCGACTTGACATGCACGCATTTGTCTATGAACGTTTGTGAATTTTTAAACCTACAGCTTCGAAATCCATAAATAGGTCACGGAAATAATTGCCCGCAACGCTGGCCACTGCGATTGCCAGATTTGAATAAGTGTGATTTTTTTATGTGGGGAACTTATTACTTAATTTGTAAATTCAACGACTATTGAAATTTCAGAAGATGTATGTAATCGTATGAGTACGTAATAAATGTACCAATATAAAAAATGGCATTCAATTATTGGATAAAGATGACTTTATTGACTTTGAAAGGCAAAGGGTCCACTTATGCTTCAGAGAACACGGGTGCCATTTTGAATACCACCTTTAATTTATTAAGTTAAATTTAAACTTATTTAATGTTATGAAATTAATTCCATAATAAATAGAAATATTCGTAACATTTTTGTGAATTTTTATTTGCATTAGCTTTCAGCCGATAAACATCAATTATTGTCAATTAAATTAAAGTTAAAAAAATAAACTTTAAAGTCAACTCGTCAGCCATCCCTATTTTAACTTTAACTTGCACTTCAAGCTTTCACAAAAAATGTGAACAAAACGACACAATTTTTCTTCATTAGAAACTTAATCACCCAGAAACCCTACACGGACTTATGATTGTGCAAATAACTCGAAAACGAAGGCAGATAGGAAGAAACTGCAACAGATAAAAAAATTCTTAAATTGAACAACAAACTGAAAACTTTGTTCGGTCGAAATCAGTGGCGCACCACAAAAAAGTTCGTAAGGAAAAAGGGGGATATGCCTCTAGAAAAAAAACACTACATTTTCGGTAAATGGTGTAAACAGTAGCCTACGTTCAAAATTTGATCAAAATACCTAATAAATTGTAGGAGTTAATAAGAAAATACCAATTAACGCCCTGTATCTCGATAATCATGGGCATGAGAAAAACTTAAATGGAAACTCGACTTGTTTTGAGGTCCTCTACACGCCCCTGCTCTGTGTCCATAACATTGTGAAACACCTTGTTTCCACAAAGTTTAAACATTTTTAAATAAACTGAAATTATTCCGTTTGCCAGTAACTTGACTTTTTCAGTCAGATTTCCAAATCGTGTTAAAATAAATAGAAATAATCGCATAAAAAATTACACGTTCTACAGTCGTTCAATAATCCGATAAGATAGTTGCTATATAAAAATCCGGTCAATGCTCTTTAATGAAACGAATGTGACATTGCATCACTTATTCCTATGTTATAAAGACGAGCCCCCGAATTTCTACATCTCCTGATGTAGAAAAACTCACCGAAATGGCAAATTCTATATAAGTAATTCCAATTGGTCCACATACTACTATGTAAACATGTACATACATATATATTTATACCACTCTGTCAACAAACACATTAAAAGAGTGCATGTCCCCCCTAGCAACAATCATGCTTACGATAATACCGAGCAAATAAAAGGAAAAAATTATTCAAATCAATTAGACATTAAATTAGTGATTATTAGCCCGAATGGATAGCCAAAACGGAGAGATAAAACTCGATTTTGCAAAAATACGACCAATTTGCTTTCATTAGCGATTTAGTCAACACCTTTCCAGAATCTCATATTTAGTATTTGGTTGTGAACATGTTGGGATCTGATATTCGTTCAATTTACATTTCAGACATCAAAAAGGAAGAGATCATGGCAATCAAGGACCGGTTTCCTTCGAAAATACCGGTAAGTCGTCTTTGCTTTTTTATCTGAGATACCTAGGGATATTCGCAAATACAGCAGCTTACAAGGAGCTGAGCATGTTGCATGGTCAAATGAGCCCAGGGTAATAACTTGAAAAATAATTAGAAATGTATGAAATCTATTCCTTATACAGGGTGGTTTTTTAGTGCGATAGAGTCTATTATTTCCGATGGTGTTGAACTTTCGAAAAATAGTTTCATGTAAAAGTTGTCAAAGCACAAGGTGAGCACATTTTAAAAATATCTTATATGATACAGAGTGTCTCAGAAAAAACGAGGCGAGATCAAGAGTGTATTTTTTTAAATCGAAGCTTAAAACGCTGCACATGCACCGTAAATTATTTCTTTCTTACTTGCGATGTTGGCAGATTATTGCCATTTCAGTAAATCTTTGCTTAAAAACCAAGTATCTAAAAATTAATTGGAGAAGCAAAAAAACAGTTAAAGATAAAAAAAATACGTCTTTCCAATCACCACAGATCCGTTAAGAATTCTATTGAACCAAAACAACAATACGTTGTAGAGGGTATTAACAATGTGGACTTCAATCTAAAACTTTTTAACGCAATATAACTTTTGTTTTTCAAATGGAAGTACCTGTATATTAATACGCCATTAGATAGACAGATTACAAAGTTACAAATTTGCATTTACACTTTAATTTTTAATTTACACACACTTGTTATTTGATAAATTTCGTTTTTGACGTAAGCCCATAAAAATAAATCCATTTGTGTCAAATCGGGTAAACGAGATGGCCACTGAACAGGCCCACCTCTGCCTATCCACCTCTCAGGAAATTCATTATTTAGGTACTCGTGAATTTGAGCTCCATCATGTAAATACCACATCCTCTCCTTGATATAATTAGGTAAATGATCAATTAAACGTGGCAATTCAAATGTTGACACTTATTTATTGACTTCTATAGCTTCCTTACAAAATCTAGTAACTTTTTGAAATTTTTAAATAAAATAAATTATAGTTTGAAAACGGTTGGTTTCACAGCTTAAAGTGTAAATGCAAATTTGTAACTTTGTAAATTGTCTATCTAATGACGCATTAATATACAGGTACTTCCATTTGAAAAACAAAAGTTATGATGCGTTAAAAAGTTTTAGATTGAAATCCACATTGTTAACACCCTTACAACGTATTGATATTTTGGTTCAATAGAATTGTTAACCGATCTGTGGTGATTAGAAAGACGTATTTTTTTTGTATCTTTAACTGTTTTTTTGCTTATACAATGAATTTTTAAATACCATGTTTTTAAGCAAAATTTTACTAAAATGGCGATAACCTGCCAACATCGCAAGTAAGAAAAAAAAACAATTTACCGTGCATGTGCAGCGTTTTAAGCTGCATTCCATGAGCTAATAAAAAATGGGTAGTTCTATTTAAAAAAATACACTTTGATCTCGCCTCGCTTTTCTGAGACACTCTGTATCATATAGGATATTTTTAAAATGTGCACACCTTGTGCTTCGACAACTTTTACATGAAACCATTTTTCGAAAGTTCAACACCAACGGAAATAATAGACTCTCTCGCACTACAAAACCACCCTGTATGTATATTAGGTTTTCCATATGATGCAGAATTCGATTTGCGAAATTTAAAACGTTCCTGACTTCTACAATACTACGACTTAGAAAGCTTTTATTTCTATATAAAAGCAAATAATAAGTAATGTTATTTTAGGTAATCATTCACAAATACCAAAAGGATCACTTCTTGCCAGTATTAGACAAGTCCAAATTTTTAATCCCGGGCGACATGTCGATGTCCCATTTCCAGGCCATTTTAAGGTGAGTTATCGATATGCGATACATGGATATTTTTTATTTCGGATCTCACTTGGTCGGTGGTAATTGATATAAAGAAACATTACTATGCAGTGCTTTAGTAGTCTCCTTCTCATGGATCTTTAGATCTCTCTTTGGAACGGCTTAGAATATTTTCTTAAACTTCAGGCTTAACGTTAGAAGCGTGTTTACTACTTTGCCTCGCAAATATAAAAAAATTACTTTAAAAATGGCATATCAATTTGTTATCGCCAAATTCAAAATAAGACCTACCATTAGTACTTTGGAGAGTACTTCCTTCAACAAATGTGTTATCGTGGTTATAACAACTAGTTTTCAATAATGGATCAATTATTGTTATTCTGAAAAGGGGTATAAAATGTGCCACTAAAACGGTGTGGGCCAATCGTTCGTAAAAAACTAAAAGCAATATCGCAATTTATCCAAAACCCGCCTTTAATTTTCAAGAAGCTGAAAGAATATTTATTGATAAATAATCCCACTTCCAAATATACCTGAGAGAACTGGTGGAAAATTTTCAACGGACTGGTAGTGTACGTAGTAGTAAAGAGGGACAGGAAAAATATGTTTTAGTAGAAAATGTATGATCAGCAATCCACGATAACAGTTTCCGATGTCTCAACGGCCACAATTTAAAAATCTTAAAAAACCAAAAGTTTCGCTTCTATAAACCTACGTGTGTAAGCGTGGAATTCTGATAAAAGTTATGTCAACGATTCCATTAAAATTTGTCATACACAAAAACATATAAACCGATATATCAACAGACAAAGCGATCGATATTGGTTAGATATTAAGCTACATATTTTTCAAGAGGACCTCGCTTAGACTCCTAGGTAAATAAAATATATTGGAAATATTAGCAAAGCAAACTGTAGGTTACAGATTTCTAGATAATAACATAATTAGTGTGTTGTATTTAAAGTAACTTCAAAATATCGTCTATCACCGGATTTAAGAAATAGTGGCAGAAATTCACGGTGAGTTTGAAAATCCATTGGAGTGGTCTGCTCGATCATCTGATTTTGCTCCCTGCGATTTGCGTTTGAGTTATCTAAAAGTCAAAGTGTACATTATGAGACGTCGGAACGGCTCAGATAGAGAAAGATGCAACTACAAAAGCGGTCCAAAACGTTCTAAATTAATTTCGGATCACAGGAAGTATAGGGACAACATTTTAAACATAACATAGATAACTTCAAGTTATTTGGAGACCAATTTAAGCATCAATAAGATAACGCTTAATTAAAGTTGAGTTTTTGAAACAATATATTTTGCGAAATTTCCATTCCTCTAAAAGTCGACTTTTAGCGGATAAGAAACTTATTAAGAAAATATTCTAATCGGCTCAAAAGATAGCAAACGGGGGACTATTAACGTCCCCACTGTAGTTA